TATTTTATTCTACTCTCTCCTAATGATTTAAAGAAAGATAACAAAAAAGCAGTGAGAAGACATGGAGAGAAGGAATGAAATATCTTAGGAACAAAAAGGAAATCATACACATATCCATGTATTCATAAACATAAAATATAACATTAACAGAATCTCTATTAGACAAAGTATTATCTTGTTAAACTTATTTCTTCTATCTCCATTCTTTAAATCCTCTCTCTCTATTTCCTCCCATTCTTAACCATCTGTTCTTTTGCCTGTTTTGACCTCCCTTTGTTGGGCTGCTTCCTTGAGTCAGGGAATGTCCACTAATTGCTCCTATGATTTCTTCTTTTCCTCTTTGAATTTCTTCTAATACTTTCTTTGTCTCCTCTCCCAGTGAGCTAATACTTTGGGTCAGTGAACATCCGCCCACAGCTCCAACATCATCATCTTTGCTTCCTATTTCCCAACCTTTGTCTTCAATTTTTGCTAATTCTTGTTTCCATTCTTCTTCATCTGTTGAACTGCATCCATATAGCATATTTAAGTCTTACGTCAGTGAGTCGATTCTGTTATATTTCTCATTATGCAAAACTCTCTTATGTCCTGGATAGCCCCCACGATATATAACTATATTTAATCTCATTCTTTTTAAAGAATTATCTTGATTATATTCAAGGAATGCCTAAATGCTATAGTATGATAACAAAGATCTTGAATAGGGGTTTCCTTGTATTTCAATTGTCCCATCTCATTTTTCAATTTTCTTATGAGCAGCTCTTTCTTATAATAATTAGCAAACTTAATCAGTACATCCGTGGGGAACATTCTAGAACCATGCTTAGGGCCTGCCCCTATGTATTTCTTTCTGTATTTTCATGATCCCATCTCTTCTCTGAAAGGACTTTTTAAAGCCAATCCAGCACATCAGTTCTAAGATGTCTCGCTTCTGCATGCTTGTTCCACAATATCACATACTTGAATATATCTACGATTCTTGTCCTGCAATCACCTTTTTTCCAATCATGTCATTCTTTTGGATTGATGATGTATCTCGGGCTTGTTAGCTTTGACCATCATTTCTGTCTGTTTATATTTAACAGTCAGAGCTGTAAACTGATTCTTCAAAGTCTGAAAGATTTTTTTTAAAATTTTCATCTGTGTTACAATAAAATTTGTCATCCCCTGTATTATCTCCTGTTTCTCTTGTTGCATTCTTCATTCAATCATTCCAGTCTTAGTTTCAAGATCTTTCAAATGTTGGTTGACCTTTTCTGCCTCCTCCCTTAGCTCTTTAATGCCTGTCTCCAGCATTTTTCTGAAGCCTTTTCTCTCCAATTCCATCTCTGTCTTTCCTTGAAATCCTGATGTTTGGCCCTCCAGTTCTGAAGACATAATTCTATTAGAAACAGATTGGATGACTTTCTTTCTCTTCTGAGATTTCTGCATGACATTTGCTTTTACTTATTCACCCAGCAGAGGAAACTCAACCATCTCTTCCAACTGTATTTTTATCTTTAACTCTAGACTCAACAAATTCCTTCCTTTTTTCCTCTACTCCTTCTTTCTTGTCTATAGCAATCTCTGCAACACTTAAGTTGTTAAATATTCCTCTTTAGTATTTAGTATTCCGTTCAAACTAGCCAAAGCCATTGCAGGATTTTATAGCTTTTTAGCCTTTGAAACTACCTTCCAGAGCTCTCTCTCAGTCTATTTCCATGCTGAGACAAATCCACTCTGACAGAAAATGGTGAGTTTATCTTCAATATATTTAACACTGCTTTCTTATCTTCAGCTCCACTTAAAATTAGAATGTTCCCCATGACTTATCCAAAAATCAGGCTCTTTAGATAGGAATAAGCTCATAAATTTTCTCGTGGCAAAGGAGAAGGAAAAAATTAAGATATTAAACAGACATACTAGAAGTCCCTCCTCACCTGAGCCTGATTTAAGGTGTTAACGTTAACATTTAAAACCCTAAATCATGGATCCTCAAACTATGGCCCAGGGGCCGGATCCAGCCCACCATGCCCATTTGGACCTGCCGCCCACCTCACCCCCCCATGTGGGGAGGCAATGGTTTGCTCACTTGAAGAAAACGATCTCCAAGTGAGCAAGCCGCTGCCTCATGTGCCCGCCTCGCCTTGCCTCCCCTGCCCTCGCCGTGCCCCCCCATCCCCACCTCAGCGTGCACGGCCACATGCACCGCCCCGTGCACACCTCCGGCACCACCTTTCTGGCCCGCGCCCAGCACAGGCACCTTTCAACTGGCCCCGTGATTAAAAAGTTTGAGGACCCCTGCCCTGGGACCAGGATATTTGAAGGAACTGTCTTCCATATAAGCCTACCCATTCATTAAAATCATCAGAGGTCCTTCTCTGAGAGCCCCAGAGGTAAGGAAGGTGGCTACAAGGGGAAGAGCCTTTTTTGTTGTCGCACCCTGTCTATGGAATAAGCTTTTCAAAGAGTTACGCCTAGTGCCAACTCTCTGTTCTTTATGGTGCCAAGCAAAAAAATTTTATTTCCCCAATATTTTAATAGTTAAATTTTATATTGCGTACTGTGTTTTATGATATTTTATCATGGATTTCAGGTTTATTTCTGGTGCCCTCTGGTTTGAGTTATTGTGGTTGCATTGTTATGGACTATGTGTGGGGTCTTGGAGGGGTTTATTGTTGGGGTTATATTTTTTTGTATGTGTTTAGTTTATATGCAAGTTTTTATGTTATTCTATTTATATTAACAAATGCTAGAAAAATACTCTAAATAAATAAATAAATAAATAAAACCTTCCTCCTAATATGCTAAGTTTTTAAATGCAGAGTCATTGTATTATGTAGGGTAGTAATTAAATATGCTTCTGCATATTTGGTTCAGTTTCAGAAGGAATGTGCCAAATATTTTTGGATGCAAGTTAGAGTTAGTTTGAAGTTAATGGAAATAATGGAAAATTGAAATAAGTGATTTCAATGTAAGAATTTTTAGTATACTGAATTATATTTAATAACAGCTTCTCAGCTCAGCATCAAATACCTATGATTTCAAAGTTGTGAGATTTAAAACTCCTTGAGACAGGATTCGAGTAGGTACAAGCAGTTTATTCCATACAAAAAGGATTTGCAAAGGCTGGCTCAATATCTCAGTAGCCTAAGGAACAAAGAGCAATTATTTCAAACATCAATGAGATTATATACGTTCCTTTCCCCGATGCTCAACACGATCCCCACTTCGCCATTGGCTGGTTACTAAGAAGTCACAATCTTCCCCATCCGCCTATATCATACTACTCCTTAATATGTTCCCCCCTCCCGCTCATACAACCCATGTTCATGCAAATGAGCCTATTACCTATGAGAGGTGTGTCAATTACTATTCATAAGCCTATTAAGCTTGCACAGTACCTTTTAAAAGTTCAACAGGCCGAAGTGGCCTTGAAAATTCTTACTTGACGCCAACTTGCTTTTTAAATCTTGTGGGAGGATGAGATAGGAAGAACAACCCTTCTTCCAAGTTCATTACAATTTCTGTTCAGTTGGATATGTGCCTGTATACTTAGTAGCAAATGGCATCTTACTATGAAATAGCTGTGTGTTTGCTAGTTTTTTTCTTTTTTAAAAAGATACTATTCTTGCTCATTTTCTCACAAAGTTAAATATAGTCCAAAAGTTTTTGGGTGCAATCCTATTGACCCCATCCTCAATGCATAAAAGCCTCCAAACTCAGAGGTTTTATGTTCATTCAGGGGCCAGGCATAGTGAGAGGGAGGGAAGGAAGCTGAGGCACTGATAGAAGAGTAGGTAGATAGTCCCAGCTTTCTGCTCACCTCCAGCACACCACTTTTCCGCCTCTGTGAGGTACATTTCTGCTTTTGGAGTGCCAGCTGTTGTGTTTTTCCCATACCAACTGTGAGGAGGCCAGGGTGAGGGGTTGGCCATTAAAGTCAGAGCACTGTGGTCAGAAGGCCTCAGGGCTGGGACTCTGAGGAATGCATCCTTAGAGCAAGAGGAGAGCATCCTGAGGAGAGCAAGATTGCTTCATAGTAAGATCGAAGTTGGATGTCCACATGGTGGGCATGTCATGAGCGGAGCCGGCTGGTGCCGGAGGTCAGACTAGATGGCCCAGGAGGTCCCTTCTGACTCGCTCTGTTTCTATGTTGCTATGTTCAAGTTGAGCCCATAAAATTGGGCAAAATTGAGCCCATAAAAAGATTAGGAAGAAGAAGTGAATGGTCTTGAGCTGATAGATATGGTCCATCAGAACAAAGGCCGGACGGCATGCCCTATTCAATTTTCACCATTCTTAACAAGTTATTGCATTATCACCAGTTATCTGTCAGAATGCTGACTGCTGTATTTGACTGGGAAATTATGTGCGCAGCACCTGTTTAGAAAGATGTTTTCCCATTCAGCAAGAGACAATCATGCGGGTTAAAGTCCACTTCCATATGCATCATACCTCTGCCTGAATCAGGGTGACCTGTCTTAGTTTATATTGGAGTGGGAACCCTGTTGCCCTCTAGATACTCTTGAACTCCCAAATTGTATCAGCCCAGCTAACATGCCCAATAATCAGGGATGATGGAAGTTGTAATTCAGCAACATCTGGAGAGCCGCATGTTCCCCAATGCTGGCACATGTGCTGTGCTCTCAGCTCAAATTATACTTAAACCTTGATTTTTGTGAGTTTAACTTTTGCAGTTTGTGATCAATAATTAAATGGGATTTTTTGGGAGTATTGAGGCCTACTATGGAACATAGTCATCATCATAGAAAGAGAGGAAGCAAAAGGGGAGAGATGGAGGCCTCCAAAATATGACTTCCTGCCCCACTCCAACCAGAGAGGGAAATCCTTCCCACATTTCCTTGCTGCAAGGAGGAGACACTGGTGAATTTGGGTGTGGGCTAGAGATATTAGGTTTTCCACTTTCACAGAAGTCCTGTGCCCCTGTGAATGTGCCAACTATACATGATCCAACTTATATATAAATTTGAGTTAAAGACAAATTTCCATTGTTTCAGGGATGGAACTCATTCATAACCCAAGGCCTGCCTGTACTGGTTGTGAAGAAGATAATGAGGAAGAAAGCAAGGACTTTGCATTCCTATTGAAACAAGAGCACCATTAAGTCAAAATTCCCTGTAAATATAAAGTGAGATTGGTTAAAATGCCATCATGTTTTAGCTCAGTGGGTGGTCCATTCCAAATGCTGTTAGTATTTAGAACAAGTATACTAGGAAGATTTACAGTTAACAATAATCTGGAAAGTTTACAGTTAACATGAGATCCACCTACTATTCCAATTTATGTAATGAAAGGTTTTATGTAATAAAAATTCACAGATTGTTTGTATTAGTGCTGTGTTACTTTTGATGCTACAGTGCAACGAAGCAAAATCTCAAAATGGTCAGTGTATGTTACATCAATATGGGATATTATCATCTTCTCACTCCTGCTATACAATCATGCATTGTCCCTGTCAGGGTTATATTGATGTGGTAGGAGGGAGGACTAACTTGGCACTAGAAAGATAAGCTAACCATTGGCATTCAGAAAAGGAAGAAATGTGGTTTGTGATAATTTGGGTGGTATCCATGTGCCAAATTCAAATGTATAACATATGAAACAGCCATTTATTAATTTATTTGTTAGATTTATTCCCCACCCTTTTCTCTTACAAAGAACTCAAGGTGACATCCATAAGTTGTCTCCTCCTGCTGTCAGTCTTATCCCCACAACAACAACTCTGTGAAGTAAGTTGGGCTGAGAGTCTGCGACTGGCCCAAAGTCATCCAATTGGCTCCATGGCTGAGTGGGGACTAGAATCCAGATTGCCTGGGTTCCAGTCCTACCCTCTTAACCTCTACACCACACAGGTTGTCTAATTATTCTGATGTGAACACATCTTAAACATTCAGATCATTTGGAATCCTTTGGGGGTGTTTTTCTAATTTCGTTTATTTTATACTACTGTTTCATAAATACATCATAAAAACATATATTTATTTATTATATTTATATCCTATCTTTTTTTCTTCCCAGCTACTCAAGGTGGGTTATCTGACCAAAACTAAGAATAGTATAAAAGCTTTGGAAAATTTGTGCATCCTAAGAGTTTCCATAGTTTGTGTTTTGCTGTTAGAAAGTGTAAGACCTATCCAAAGAACATTGTGCTCTTTCAGTTGACCTCACTATATCTTTTCTCTTTCAGATTTGCTACCAATCAAGTGCAACATCTCTGACAGAACAAGAACTGAACACTAGATTGCCAAATTCTCAGCTGGTGCTTTAATAGCCAGAGTGTTCCTGACCTTTGAAGGTAGGTTTTTCCTTTTTACTAGAACCAAGCCTTTCTTTTTAAGTTCACATATTACTTATATCTTTTGTAAGTAATTGAAACCCTCCTATGGTAAGCATGTCATGAACAGAGCTGGCTGGAGCTGGGGGTCAGACTAGATGGCCCGGAAGACCCCTTCTGAATCTCTCTGTTTCTGTGTTTCTATGTCTCTATGGTTCTATTCATTGATGAGGTTTACAGTGTTACCTGGAAGTTACAGGTTATGTGAGAAATTCTCAATTTGCTTTTATTACCGTTAAATTCTCCACACAGTATCACATAGGACTGCCTGTGTGCATACAGAATCATAGAACCTTCACAAGGTGCTCACCCCTCATTTTGCACCTGCCTGAATCTTGCCCCTTCTTTTGCACCTGCCTTGAAGGGTAGAGGAAATGCTTCTTTACACTTTTTTTCTCTTCACAGCTATGCAGGGAACCTCAAAGTTTGGTTCAGATGATGTCAAGTTGACAGTTTCCTGACAGTTAGGACCCCGAGGGTGTGGAATGGGCTTCCACGAGAGGTCGTTGAGGCCCCATCGGTGTAGGTGTTCAAGGATAGGCTGGACATCCACATGGTGGGCATGTCATGAGCGGAGCTGGTTGGTGCCGGAGGTCAGACTAGATGGCCTGGGAGGCTCCTTCTGACTCGCTCTGTTTCTATATTTCTGTGTTCAAGTTGAGCCCATAAAATTGGGCAAAATTGAGCCCATAAAAAGATTAGGAAGAAGAAGAAGAAGTAAATGGTCTTGAGCTGATAGATATGGGCCATCAGAACAAAGGCTGGACTGCATGCCCTATTCAAAGTCAGGAGTAATGAGCTGGTCAGACAGTTCCTTCAATACCTTGGACAGACCATAGAGAATATTTATTTATTTATAACTTTTCTATCCCGTCCCCTACAGAATGTCTTGGGATGACTTACAAGAGTGAAGAACTTGTTCTGAAAGGTTCTTAGAACAAGAACCTTTCCAGAGGAGCTTAGTTCTAGATAAGTTCCCTGTGCTTGACAGAGACTCCTACTTATGCACTGGTCACCTCTTGTTTGGATTATTGCAATGAGCTTCCTTTGAAGATGGTCCAGGAACTTCAGCTGGCCCAGAATAGGGCAGCAAGGGTGCTGATGAGGACTGGCAGATATGATCATATAAAGCCAGTCCTCTACCATCTTCACTGGTTACCAGCTGAAGTCCAGGCTCAATTCAAGGTGTTAACAGTTGTGTTTAAAGCCCTAAACAGCTTGGGGTCAGGGTCCTAAGCCGTTTAGAGCTTTGTATGTTAAAATAAGCACCTTAAATTGGGCCCGGAACTCAACTGGTAACCAAGGAAGTTTGTAAAGTATTGGAGTGATATGGGCATGTGAACCTGTTCACACCAGCAGTCGCACAACCCTATTTTGTACCAATTGAAGTCTCTGGACTATCTTCAGGTGGAGCCCCATGTAGAGTATATTACAATAGTCCAGTCCAGAGCTTACCAGAGTGCTTGTGAGTGTGGCTATGTTCTGCCTGTCCAGGTAGGGCCACAGTTGGTAAATTAAGCATGACTGAAAGAAAGCACTCCTGGCAATTGAAACAACCTGAAACTCAAGTGAGTTTAGGGCACCCCCAAGCTGCAAACCCTGTCCTTCAAGGGAATACAACCCTGTCCAGGTTGAAGACCCACCCTCTGGGCAGATGGACCATCTACCAACAGCACCTTGGTCTTATCTGGATTGAGCTTCAATTTATTGGCCCTCATCCAGTCCGTTATTGAGCTCAGGCAGTGGTTAAGGACAGAAACCGCCTCATCTGGGTTGGATAAAAATGAGACGTAACTCTGAGTGTCATCGGCATACTGATGACACCTCAGCCCCCACCTCCGAATGACCTCTCCCAGCAGTTTCATGTAGATGTTAAACAGTGTGGGGGGCCACATAGTGCCCAAGGAACACCATGGCAGAGCAACTATCCCCCAGCACCACTTTCTGGACATGGCCAGATAGGGGGTGAAACCACCGCAGTGCGATGCCTCCATCTCCTAACCCAGCCAACCAGTCCAGAAGGACATGGTCAGTGGTGTCAAAAGCCACTGAGAGGTCCAGGGTTGTACTCCTTCGTCTCTCCCCCAGCAAAGTTCGCCTCACTGAACAACCAAGGCAGTCTCCATCCCAAACCCTGCCCTGAAGCCTCATTGAAATGGATTTAGATCGGCCATTTCATTCAAGAGTACCTTGAGCTGCTCAGCCACCCCCCCCCCCACTCATGCGCCTTGCCCAGAAATGGCATATTCATAACAGGCCTATAATTGACAACAGCCCCTGGGTCCAGGTTTGGAGTGGTCTTATCACAGTCTCTATCAAAGGGGCTGGTACCACTCCCTCTCTCAATGAGGTGTTGACAGCCTCCTGGTCCTAGGTGTGAACCTGCTTGCTTGATTTCTTAATGAGCCAAGATGGGCAAGGGTCAAGTAAACAAGTTGTGGCACAAACAAAACCAAGTACATCATCAGGCCACAATAATCAAAACTCATCCATCAAAGTAAGATAAGATGGTATTCTGGATGCTTCTCTCAATGGGACTAGATCAACTGTGGAGTCCAAATTGCAGTGGATTCAAGCAACTTTGTCTTCAAAGTGGTAAGCAAATTCATCACAGCAAAGCACCCAGGGTTCAGCAGTCTCACTAGATGTTCCAGTCTGTAGGAGACCCTGACAACACTCAGAAAAGTTCATCTGGACAGCATGGTGAAGATGCAATAAAAGTGACAAAATACGGACCTTTCCCCCCCTTTTTTGCCACAGAATAGGGTCTGTAATAAGCTCCAAGCTGTGCTTGGTCAACTTCTTTTCAAGATCTCCTCCACCTATGCTCAAGTCATCTCCCCTCTTGCTTTATCACCCTGAGCTCAAATGTATATCATGGAGCTGGTTGGGCTCTGCAGGAGTGGAGAGGGCACTTAGGAGCAATTATGTCAACTACCCGAGTCATCTCTGTATTCCACAGCTACTCCTCCAGAGTATTACCTATGTTGCAGACAAGGAAAGATGTTAAAATGTATCTGACATTATTGCAATTCAATTCTGTTCTATTTTTGTTGTTCTGAATATCAGCTAGTTTACTGTAAAATATACACAGCATTTAAATTTCCTTACATAGTTAACTCTGCTGAATTGGCTCTTATGTTTGTCCACTAGAGGCCAGTCTTCTGTTGATATTGAATCATCATTATGCTACCAATAAGAATGTAAATTATCATCCAGAGTCCAATTTAAAGCAGAGAAATATGTCAGAATAATAGTTAAGTCAGATGGGTGATTGCATAGACTTTTCTAGAAAGATCCAGGAGCAGTTTTCTTTCCTGCACAATGCACTTGTTTTGAATTTGACAGTGTTTCTTCTGGGTATGCTGATTAATATAGAATTATAAAATAGTAGGATCAGAAGGGGCCAAGAAGGGCATTGAGTTCAACTCCTGCTGGTGCAGGATGCCAGTTACACCATCCCACTCAGATAACTGCCTCTCTTCTACTGGAATGTCTCTAGTGTGGAAGAGCACACAACCTCTCTTGGCAACTGGCTCCACTGTTGTATTGCTCTTACAGTTAGGAGAATCTTCCTTGTGTCTAGCCTGTACCTGGTGTATCATAGTTTTAACTTCATTGTTCGGAGTCCTACAATCTGGAGTGAGTGAGGATAGGCCTTTTCTTCTGCTTTGTGACAGCTTTCGAGATATCTGTAGAGTGCTATCATGTCACCTTGTAGTCTTCTTTCCCCAAGCCTAGACAGACCCAGTTCTTTCAGCCCCTCATCATACGACTTATCTTCCAGGTCCCGTATCATCTTTGCTGTCCTCCACTGAACCCTCTCCAGATTATCAGCATCCTTTTTATGCACTGAAGAGGGGGTTCTCTAGAGTGGACTGAATCCAAAACTGAACACTCCTGCCTTATTTACATAATTATCCACACTGAGTTTGGGTTGCCTTATCATTCAAACCCAGTGAGGATGTGTAGGAAGGGGGTGCCTTACAAACTGTCCTGAATCCCTAGAACAAGCTGTGTATTGTAGGGTGGTTTGGAAGCTATCTCATCACTCACCTTGCTGGTGCAGATGATTCAGAAATTCATACCCGTTGTAGGCAATTATGTAACCGTGTGACTGGCCTTCACAGGCTGTGGAAAAGAAGCCAAACTACTCTATCTAACCAAAATTAATACATATTTCTCCAAGCTCTGCCTATAAGGAAAACATCAGGGTGGAAAGAAAGATACATAGTTTTGTGATTTGTGCACACATTTTTGCAGTGAATGATTTTATCAGGACTTTTCTGTCCCAGTGCTTTGGGAAAGGAATGCCAAAGTAATATATCACAGGACTGATTATAACTCATTTAATCCCAGAACTAGGAACATTAAGTGGTTTGGCGGAGTATGTGAGATGTGGGAAGCTGTAGCATTGGATGTTTGCTTGGAAAAGCTGGGATGTTCAAAATGTTTGGTCTCTGACCCTGTTTGCTATACATCTGTCATCTAACCTTGTCTGATAGCACTTCCTTGACTTTAGTGCTGGTTGAACAGAAAAACCTCTCTAAAATGTTTTCCAGTCATGATAATTACCTAACCACTGCATCTATGCTTCTGCAATTTTGCACATTTTTTGTCTAGGGACACTTAAATGCTGTATACTCTTTTCATATAAGTTAGTTGTTTGTTGTTGTTAGTCGTAAAGTCATGTCCGACCCATCACGACCCCATGAACAACATTCCTCCAGGCCTTCCTGTCCTCCACCATCCCCCGGAGTCCTCTTAAGCTCACACCAACTGCTTCAGTGACTCCATCTAACCACCTCATTCTGTGCCGTCCCCTTCTTCTTTTACCATCTGTTGTTCCCAGCATTAGACTCTTCTCCAGGGAGTCCTTCCTTCTCATTAGGTGGCCAAAGTATTTGAGTTTCATCTTCAGAATCTGGCCTTCTAAAGAGCAGTCAGGGTTGAATTCTTCT